CATCAATTTGCATGCCTCCTAACAAGAACTGGCACGTCAGTCGGCTACAATCCTCATAAAGGCGTAACCATCTGATTTGATTACATCTTTCCGTGTGACAGGCGATGCAAAAATGCCTGCTATAAGGGTGTACTTGTTTGGCTCTATATGTGACCAATCAACACAAACTAGTACAGCAAAATGGCCCTCTACTGGCACAAACAGAATCATATGGACATCATCCAATCCATGTTGTTGATGTGGCGCGGGTTGAGGTTCGACCCACCATAGCTTAGCAGTGTCCGCGAGCGGGAAACTATCCGCCATTTGAAGTCGAACCCAAGGCACTAATTGTTCCTGATTCCACGTGTTGTCCCAGACAAGACCCGCTGTGTGTGGTTGGTGACCATCAGTGGGAATGCGCACATGCAAGTACGCACTCCTATGTCTGCGCTGCAACAGGAAATGAACTTCATCTCTGAAATTGGCCTGTGCATTACAGGTTGTGATTGGTATTATTCTTCTCGTGAAAACTCTCCAGTAAGCACGATTTCTCTCTGAGACAGGTACCTGACGGGAAAGTAATCTCCTTTCAATGGAGTCTCTCCCGTGACGGATAAATCTCAAGAACCTTCGTGTCTCAAAGACGGCATTAAATTGTTCTAGGAACAAGCTGTGTATTGTGAGGTCGATCTGAAAGAGGCTCTGTTCTCCTGCGTGCATCTTCGTACCGTTCTGCAGCAGTGTCATGCCAAGCGAAATTGCCTTCCGCTTTCTGGATACATCTGCACAAGAAGGAGCACGGCTTAGCCTACAATGAGCACCCGCCCGCGCTTCAACAGTATCTTCCCAATCGAACTTCACAAAATCGTTCCCATTCCAACAGGACATTTGGCAATGCTGGTTGCAGAAAGGGTCAAACTCCGTACCTAAGAAGATGTCACGCACCTTGGCATTGTGTTCAACCCAAACTCCACATCGCACTATGACATGCGCCATTACATCAACTAAGAGAGGTCTAGCATGCATCAGATCGTCTTCCCTAGGGATAATAAGCAATTCCGGACCTTCTGGCACATTCGAATGCTGCATTTGACGCAATGAAAACAAAACAGTGATGAAGCTGCTATCTCCACTCGGAAGCCATGCAGCCAGGAGTGCGTTCTGCCAGCTCAAAGCTTGATAGAACCTTATTTGCCTTGGTGTCTTATTAATTCGATGCATCTTGGAAACGAAATATGTGTCCGCCACCAGAGGGTCCACCGCTGGCAATGGGACCGCAGATTCGGTCAAAAACGCTCTCAGTAAGTCACCAATCTCGGCTTCACGTCCTATAACCACTGCTCCATGCACAGCTGCACGATGCATTTGAGAACCTTGGGATCCAATTTCGCTTGCTTGTAGTGGTGCCAAATCACTCAAATCTGGCCTTTCCATAAATGACGTGACGTCATGTTCTGCTTCGAAGTGAGCTGTACTATCCGTTCTCTTAGTTGGTTGGATAGCAGAAGACATCGCATAAGTCTCGGCATGGATCCTGGCTCTAACACCTACGAAGTCCAAGCAGAGGAAGATCAAGACTATTGCTTTCATTTGCCTTCTGGTTATTCTATGATATCTGTGCGATCGAATTTGAATTGGCTTTCTTCTGTCTACCCTAAACTGACACCAAGTTTCCCAACATGCGTATAGTCCAGACCCAAGTATAGCGATCAACTCAAGACAGCAAAAGAGCACTGCTTGTGCGACTACTTCATCCGCGAAATCGTCAACATGACACTGCTCCCATCTTGACCCTTGAGTGCGTCTCGAAAGAACTACTCATTGGCATTTCACGTCTGGCCAGGCATTGTGGAAAATCATAGGCACGAAGTAGCACAGGAAGCCTGGAAGTGCCTATAAGGCCTTCCCATCTTTGTACTTCTCTATTATCAATTTCTCTGGTTGTTCGAAGAAAAGGACGGCAAAATGAGCCTTCACTCCAGCAGCTATAGCTATCCGTCCAAAGGCGTGCCTTCAAAAACGGCGCCAAAGGACCATTCTGACAACGTTCAGCAACATGAGAGCATCCCCATTCATCATGGCTGAGCGTCACTTGGTTTCTGCTGGGTCTCCATCTGGCTTTTCCCCCTTTTCCTTTTTCTCCACAGCTTGCTTCAAGTGAGTCTGTTTGACTCCCTTTGGAGGTGATGCAGCACTTGCAGCTTTGCCCGACCGAGGAATGGCTCTTCGAAATGCCCTCAAAGCAACTACTGGTTCTGCAGCTTTGTCTGCGACCAGCTCTTCTTCCATGTCTTCTTGCATTTCGTTGTCGTCGATAAGCTCCGTTTCCTCGATTTTGCCAAGCATCCTCTGCATCTCCTCGAGAGTGGGAATTGCTTCCCCCTCTTCTTCCACACTGATATTTGTCCTTAGTGCAGAAGCTACATGCTTCACCTGCGTCCTCAGCAAACTCAAATTCTCTGTTGCCTCGACAAGTGCAGCTTTGGCCTTCTCTCTGTCCCGTTGATAAACTGCCCATCGCTCTTCCATGCTGTTCTTCGCTTTTAACGCAAAGGCCTGCCAGTCTTTGTCGACTTTTTGCACTTCCTGTTTGCACAGCTCCACCTGCTTTTCCAAGTTTGGAAAGATGCCCATGTGTCAGGCGAGGACTCGATTCTCCTCTCTGCTCCAGGGTTTGGATCTCCTCTGCTAAACTCGAAGTCGCTGCAGTCCCATAATAGCTTCTGATAGCTGCCAGGTGTTGCTGGATATCCACTGTGGCGGTAGCTTCCTGGAGGAGCTGGCGGTGGCGGTAGTCTCGGCGAGGGTGGTAATGCTGGTGTGATCTGTGATCTCCCCTTGCTCTTGGCTTCCTTCCTGGGTGGAGGCGTAAAAGGATCTTGTTCTTTCCGCTTTTGAGACTTCGATCGATCTCGCTTCCAATCTACTGCCGTATAATGCTCTCCGCAGTAGAGACAATAGAGAGCTTTGGGGGCATTCTTCTGACCACACTGGCAAATCCACCTGAGAGGCATTGTGGATATCTGGCCCGGCAATGAACTGCCGTGGTGTTGTGCTATCCTGTGAATAGCACTGTTCAAGCGATGTGTTGGCACTTGTTGTCCTTTTGCCCAACTCTTCAGAACTGTTCTCGCAGTAGCACGTCGAAGGCGCTTCCTGCGGTGCCAAGTAGGTTCCTTGATCTTTGAAAGTCTGATAGACGTAGAAGTTAGCAAGGACAAACAGGACAGAGACAAGGATGTAGTGTCGAACCGCAGTGACCATAAAGCCGCCGCGGCCCTAAGGCTACCGGCTAAACCTAACCCGCACTGTGAGGGGACACTTCCCAGTGCGAGCCAGAGCCGAACCTTGTTGGAGGCCATTGCTAGAAACAAAGAAAAACAGTAAAGGAAGAAGATGGAAGAAGGATAAATGTTCCTTTTCGCTCGAACGAGATCAATGGGCCGGACCTGACGGGCCGACTGGACGGGACCAACGCGACTCAAAGGCTCCAACTGACGTGCTCCGTTTAATGGAGATGACGGGACCACAGCGTATAGACACGAAGATATGCCACGCGCATCTTGGTCCACCAAAAAGTACTGCCTGCGCAGTAAGACAGTCAGGATGTGGAAGGAAAAGGATATGGGTAGGAAGGTAGTAGTAGGTAGTGGCAGTAGTAGCCGCCATCCCAGTAGTATAGTATTTAAGTATATATATATATCATTGTATATCAAAAAAGGTCAATAATTAGTAGTATCGTTGCCCGCCGACATTCCGTGAGGGGGGGATATCCGTGCAACGCCGATATTTCGGGGATGGGAGATATTGGTGAATCGGTGCGCCGATTTGGAACCGGCGCTGGCAACAGTGAAGTGCGATCCTTCTGGTGCCCCGAGAGGTGGGTAGGTCCGGGTAGAGTCGGTGGAGCTAATTACTAGTAGCGTCCTTGCTCCTAGTATTTGCATAGTAGAGTCGGAGGAGCTCTAGAAACCAATCAACGGGCCCTATGTGCTCGACTGGCCCGACGAGCAGTGTTGGGCTGTTAGATGATGGGCTCCACAGTGCGGCTCCACGGATTCAACGGGCCTAACGAGCCTGACGGGCACCTTGGGAAGACTGCCACAGCCGTTTTCTAAGAGCAACGCAGAAATCGCTTTGAACACCTCGCTCTAGCGCTTGACATAAGGAGCGAAATGCAGCACTTGAGCAAAACCATGCCCCACAACCATGCAAGCATCAATTCAGTGCTGTGTGTTTCTCACAACACACCATCAGCAGCATGCCGCATACCACACAAACATGGCCAGCAAACAAACTGGATACAACACCGAGTCGAGCAACGGAGCTTTCGTTAGCCTGGTGGGCCCCTGTAGTAGGGGCCCACAAGGAAAGCAAGCTTAAACGAATCAAGCACGTGTTGAGCAAGCCTAAAGCAGGTGCAAGTGGACAGAGCAAGCGCAAGTTCAAAAGTTCGCTTCTCGAAGACCCTGTAACCGTGCTTTCCCAAGTCCTGAGTCCTGAGCACAAAATAGAAGCGCAACGCCGCAACACGATATCAAAAGGGATTTCTTGCTTCAGCTTCGTGGAAGTACTATGTAATGCCTTCTGCCGGCTGCCTTCCGTGCTTCTGTACCCTCCATCCGCTTGCCCTGGCTTGCATGCATTGTTTGCACGCCGTCCACACGGTGTGCCAAGTCAGCGTCACAAGTTGAACACAAAAGCAAGTGGTAGGTACAAGTCAAGCAAGCAGCAAGCATAAAGCAAGTGCAAGTGCAAAGCCTTTGTCGTAAGAAACGCGTAATGCACATTATATCACACTATAAGTGTTTGCCTGGGGCTGGGGGACCCCTCCCAATGCTTTCATAAATGTCTCAAAGTGTAAGATGCAAGAAGCATAACATCGAATGTCCCTTCAAGCCTAGAAACATCTAGAAACCGTTCCTTACAGTGAGAGTTCTTCAAGGTGGCTTGCCGTCTGCTTGCCGTCAAAATCCAAGTGTCTTTGCTTGCAAAAAGCAAGTCACTGAGCCCCCCTCTTGAAGGTTCCTTGCGTGTTCTTTTTGCCAATGTGCCGTGCAATCCAGCGTCCAGACCTCGGAAAACATATCTCTGTTTTTTGCAATCGTAGAAACTTGGGTTTCGGTTGGAGGTAGGGAAGTAGCTAGAGTAGAAGAGGTAGCTAGTTAGTAGCTGACAAGTAGCTAGTAGCATGGACGCAGGATAGCTCGCGCTTGGTCATTTGGTTCCTAGATTTTTAGGGAAACTTAATGACTAGAACGAGCAAGAGAGAAAAAGAGAGAGAGAGAGAGGGAGAGGCACGCACACCAAGAAAACCGTTCGTTAATATTGAAGTGTTGAGAAGAGCGGCTGCTCTCCTCTCTGCCAGGCTCCGCGTAGAGCGCCATCTGTTCCTGCGGATGGCAGATTGTGAACCTCAACACTGTATCCTTACTAGTAGCGTCCTTTGCTCCTAGTAGAAAGGCCAGGAGTCCCTAGTAGCGTCCTTGTTCCTAGTAGTAAGGCCAGGAGCTACTAGTAGCTTCCTTGCTTCTACAGCCCGGCAATTCTGTGGCCTAGTTCTGCATCCAAAATCAGTCCATCCCACTTCTCACCTTTCGTCAGAAGTGGCAGGTCATGTAGAGACTCAGTGATTCGCTCTGACTGGCCTTCAGAAGACATTTCCACATGAAGTGACCTGCAGAATTGTGAGGCTTGTTGGGTGCACATGTCAATTCTTTAATACTTCACTGAACATGGGAGGGTGCGCATGCATTCAACTCTCATGACTCCTTCATTTAAATCAAAAGGTGCATGCTCTCAGGACCTAGGGCTCGCCTGGTCAACGAGTTGAATTCTCCCATGAGTGTCGGATGACGCTCAACCTTGGTGTTCTTGCACATCAAGCTTCAATATTGAATTGAGGTGTGAGCTGTAGGTGTTCACATTATTGTGCCAATCAACCTCTAAATAGCTCTAAGCTCAGAACAGTTTCCTTTTCGCTCAAGAATGGTCCAGCCTGGACGTCTTAAACCAGAAGAGTGGCGCTTGCGCTGGGCAGTCTTGGTGGATGCACGAATCTGCTGTTGGGACTAAGTGCTGCGCAAGCGCAGCCCCAGTGATTCTTAACAAGTGAGATGCTCGAGCGTCTCCTTCGCTATCGGCCTTTCAAGCAAAGCAGCGGCAAACTGCAAAAAAGGCATAGCACTATTCAGAATGCGCAGTTTCGGACTGACTGCCTCACTGAAACAAAGATTTGCAATAAGGGCAATGCTGGGTGTGCTGTGAGCCATGCATTCCAAGCATGCTCGATGGGATCTCCTCCTGCCTCTGGCTCAGAAAGCAGGCTCATGGGTGGGAGCGGGATTTAATAGTTTTACAAGACAAAATAGAGACAATAAAAGAAACAAAAAATCTTAGAAAAGGTTGTCTGCCTGGATCTCGAGTCTCCAAACTCCGCCAATGCGTGACTCGCGGCATACCTGAAGGGTCAGGGGATTGGCGAGAGACACAATAGAAAAAGAACCAGTAGACTCTATTGGACCATTACCGGATGATGCTTAGTCTTAGTAAAGACCTCGTCCCAGAATAGGGAGAGACTTTTACCGACTGTCACCGGTAATGGGGCGCACATGGACACACCCTAGATAGATACTTCAGCACACGCATTTCATGCGTGGCCTTCAGCCCTTCAAAGGTGCCGTAGGAGCCATCCTCTGCACGCCAGGTGCCTTGTAGTTCAGGCACCTGCTAGCTATCCGACGAATCACAAACTTGGAAAAATGACTGGCAAACCTTGGAAATGTATGAAAAAATAACAAATAAACTCATCTCTCTATATATATATACTGTAAATGATCTGTTCTGTTCTCACTTTTATTAGAAGCGAGCACTTCATGGCCGCTGTACGGCCCGAGAAATGGGTGTGTAATTTTTACCGTAGTCGAGCCGGGAAGCTTGAATAGGTGGTATGATTCGAGGGTATGAATCGCTCAAGTCGAACTTCCAACCACTACATCACGCCAAAAAAAATACAAACCCAAATGTGTATGTAGAGCAAAGGTCCCAGAGATGCAAGCGAAATCATTCAAAGGTCAGCCTGACCCTCCTCGATGACCAGGCTTGCGTCTGCGTAGGCCACTGATCGCCCACCTTGCAGTCACAAAGACGCTCTTTATGTTCTATTCCCGAATGGTTTGCTTTGATCCTCTCTGCACGTCAATGTCTCTCATGTCACTTGCTTAAAGCCGCGCAAAGCGTGCCTTCACCCTCCAAGTCTAGCTGCAGATTGCGAGCATCAAGACCTTAGAGTGAACAGGGTGGTGTCAAGGCAAGTGACGCTGGCAAAATTCATCTTAGTCTGGTTTATTATGTTTCTGCGTTTTGTGGAAAAAAGAAACGGTCTTTTCATGTCTTTTCGGGTCTATGCTCCAAACGCCCTCGAGCCGCCCATTGATTCCCTGGGACAATTGGACTGGGAGGTGGTCCAGGCCTTGACGAAAGCAAAAGCCCCAAGGGGAGCACAGCAAGGCATACTCAGTGGCAGCTACTTAGTAGCACTCTTGGTTCTTGTGCATGCTGCAGTCTCATGAATTATTGCTTTTCGCAATGCTTCGTGAGGCGATATGTTGTACAAATTGCACAAGGCATCAATAGCGTCTTGCTCAGCAGCTTGCGGCTCAAGCGAGACATAATTGGCACCTCGCTATTGATTCAGAGAAGAGCCCCTATGTTGTAAGATGCTGTCACATCTGGACGAGTTCTGTTTTATATGCTACCAGCTTGAGAACACGGGAAACGTCTAGCTGAGGCTTCCACGGACTGATGGCATCTGTTGCCACTCCTCCAATAAATGCAAGATTTCATCGGGAAGTGCGCTCCAAATCACTAGTATTTCTCACCGCCTCCAAGGTCATCAAGGCCTGTGGACTTGTGAGAGCAGGAACTGACCACACACGCAGTGACACAATTGCACAAAGGCATTGTGCATTCGTGTCTTCGCACGAGATAGTCGGGTGTTCAGCCTCTTTGCCACCCTTCGTAGCCAACATGATGTCCCGCAAACAGTACCAGTGGACATAGTTTGTCTGCAGTGTTCAAGGCCGATAGAAAAGCTATGCATGAAGAGCATGCATATTGGTGAAGCTGCGAGCATCTGTGATCTGCATTTAATATCATTCAAGTAAAGTAATTCATACAAGTTCACCGTCCTCGGCTCGGCTTGGAACGTAGACCAACGCTTCTCCTGAGCGGAGGGCCCAACCCAAAGGCCAAAAGGGGTGAAGATGGACATCTCTTGAGATATGCGCCGTAGTTGTCAATCGTCCCAATTTCCCCTGTGGCCTGGTGGAACAATATGCCAAAACAATTCAGGTATGGCATAAACCAAACAAACACATCACGCTCAAGGCTTTCAAGACAATATGCAATATGTATGGTGCATTCATAGTCATGAGTCATGATGGTCTGTATCGTTCAACATATTTAAGCACACAGAGTCTAGAAATCGTTTCACAGGGTGTGTGCTTTCCGGTGATTGAGTCGTGTTGACAGCAATCCCACCATAGTTTCATTGAGCAAAACGGACTCCAACAAAATCAATCAGAGAACTTGTATCCATGATCTGGATAACCTAATCTTTGCACCACAGGGTGCCAAGGTGGTGGATTCCCAAATCCCAGCCAAAACTGAACCTTTCTCCCTTCCTGATAGAGCATCGTATAGGCAGCTTCTGTTTTTCAGTTTGGATGGATTAATTGTATTGTTCCATGCATGCTTCTCCGATGTAGTGCGGTCCAAGATTGAGACTGTTGTCTTTTTGGACTCAAATTAGCAGTAGTCAAGTAGATGCATAATTCAAGCACATGCATGTCTACAAATTAAAGAATGTGCGGGACACCACACGGAACACAAACAGATGCGGAAACAAGTGCACAGCACCCCCCAATAAGTTCAGAGGGCCGAGTGACTTGATCGGGGTGGTTGCACGCTTGTGCGAGCAATATGTGGAAGTCGTGCATCAATATACGCGACATATGATCTCCATATGAGTGTCTGCCGAACCTCTGCATAACAAAAAGGAGACTCTTATCGCATGCCCGAAATCATCAGAGCCCTGTAAGGCATGACTTCAAAAGTGTAAGCTGAGTGCTGCACTCCGTTTCTCAAGGGCCCCCAGTTGTCGTTGGCATCAGGGCAAAGCATCACCGTGTCGAATGGCTTGGGACTTGGCAAGCGAACAAAGCATGTTTTGAACAATAGTGTGTGTGTGGGTATATATATATACATATTATGATATATGTGTTTATATAGTATTTAGTATTATATATTGGCAACTTGTGGCTTGAAGGCAGATGACAAATGCAAGAATTCCATATTTCAGCCCTTGCCCTGGGAGACTCACACGCCAGCAAAGGTTCTGTCTTCCATGGCTTCAGGCTCCTGTGCTAATGCCTCATTCAAAGTGTTATTCATGGAGCTGCAGTGTTTGTCGCTAGCGCTTGCCGATCTAAGCACCAGTCACCTGTTGATCGCAATTGGTCTGCAATGGCAGCCGCAGCATCCTCTGTTTGTCTCACAGCAACCTGAGTGGGCGAATCCGAGACCTCACGGGGTTCAGAATTGAGTCGCATAGCAGTCTTGCATTGTCAAAGACCCACTCACTTTGACATGTTGAACCCATTCAGAAAGGAATTGCTGGCTGGGGCACTATCGCTTCATCGCCAGTCTCCTTCAGCTTGCGGTAGAGTGTTGCCTTGCAGATCTAATCTTGCAATGGGCTAGGGCTAGGGAACTTCCACATTCAACCCGCCTTGAAATGACGTTTTCCACCAGGAAACCCTAAGGCTTCGAAAGATCGGCCCAAACCGCTGACCTTGGAAATTAAACCCAACTGGCTTGAGATCTAAAGGCATCTCCTCTGACAGCCAGGCCAAAGATTTGAGGTGTTTCTTCCACAGCCGCTTAGAAATGAAGTTGTCATCACCTGCAAACGAGGTCAGCATAATTCGGCTGTCAATGCTAACATGTTCCAACCTTCTCTGCCACCCATCTCATCCTTGATCAAACGCCGCCGTTCATCCGTAAGGCCTTGGACATCAAACAAACTTGAATGGTTTTCTTACCAACTAAAATGTCGAAAGCTAGACAACAAGGACACCACGTACGATGACGGTAAAGATTTCTTCACCTGGAATTAGGAAAGCAGCTGCGCGCGCTAAGGGAGAGAGAGAGGGAGAGAGGCAGAAAATTGCACAAACACTGCACCGAGAAAGCTCTTGAGGTTAATCCAAAGCCTTGAATGTCAACATGAACGAACTTGGATTCGAAGCTCGCTGCCTGATCCTCCACTTGCAAGGCGATTTCCACGAGCTGGCCGAACGCGCAGTGCCTCATTATATATACCAAAACTCTGGTTCATCTCCGCACATCAATTCAGAGGATATTCCCTCCTTTCTGCTTTAGTTGACAAACTGACTTTTCTACTCCTAACGTACAGTATTTGCCTGGAGGGCAAGCGACGCATAGGTTAGAAAGCGCCAAACTCGTTGCACGTGTGAGATCCAGGACGCTCATAGATTAACATCCCCAAGTAGTCTAGCCGCTAGCCTGTTCACTCTTGCGTTGTTCGCTGGGAGGACTTGTCTTTTGTGGTTGCTGTCGTTGCCTCTTTATTCTCTTTGCATTCTTCTTGCACTTAAACACCCTTAATACTACCACAGGAAAGGGAAATCGGGGCAATCTAATCTATCAAGTGATCTGTCTGTGGACGAGTCCATGGTATCATTGTGATCCAGCGCGACCAAATTTGTCCACCTACCTACCTAGCTGTTGGCCAACCATGCCTACGAGATGACGCCTGACATCATCTGATTGTAAGTCATGAAGGCGCAGAAGAGGAACAGTCAACAAATAGAGAACAAGTGCATGCTGGGTGTCAGATTGGAGATTGGCAGCTTGGAAGCGGCCAGTTGTTGAGTAAGACCAGCCGCTGAGTGTTTTTCCAAGCTTGCGACTAAAAACACAATGGATCATGATGCGTTGTTTGGAAAGTTGGTGAGATAACAAATCTCAACCACCAGGAAGCTTCACAACACATCCATCAGATTATGGACTCGAGCAAGTCAAAGCTCATGCAACGCCATAGTTCGACGGCACTGTTGCCCTGGGTCGATACAAAACCCATAGGCCTGCCTTGACAGGACCGACTTGTGCGGCCTGAAAGCAACCACTCTGCCCTTTTGTCAGGGCAAAATTGCCAAAGCCTTGTTGTCATCACCCTCCCAGCCTCCTCTGCAATACCAGCCATC